AGAAAGAAAGAAAGAAAGAAAGAAAGAAAGAAAGAAAGAAAGAAAGACAGTTTCAAGATGGACATGCCTTTAATTCCAGCACTTGAGAGGCAGAGGCAGGAGGATCTCTATGAATTCTAGGTCAGCCCGACAGTGAGTTCTATTTCAGGGCAGCCAGGGCTACACAGTAAAACCCTGTCTCAATACACAAACAAAACAAACAAACAAACACCCCCCAAAACAAAACCCTGTCTCAAGGAAGAAGAAGAGGAGGAAGAGAAGGAGGAGGAGGAAGCAATAGCCCTAAACTGATTTGGTGAGCTCTGGATAACTAAACCTGAGAAATTACTAATAAATACATTTGTATCTGAAAGAGGATCCCTGATACCAAGCACAGATGAGATACATCTTTGTTTGCTCAACAAATTATGCAATTCATGAAACACTGGTGCACATGTACACATGCACAGAGACACACACACACACACACACACACACACACACACACACACACACACACCACACTCCGGATAGTGAATATTGTGCCTTTAAAACAATGTCCTAACTTGGTCATCAGGTTTGAGCTGCTTCTCTTGTTTTACCTAAGATTTTTCTGCCCTATGTCAATAGGTTGTAAGAATTCCTTCAAAGCCTAGAGTCAAATATGATTCCTCTACTATGTTTGAATCTGGGCAAAAGGTACATTTGTGCTCAATTACTGTGTGGGCTTCTCTTTCTTTCTTTCTTTTCTTTCTTTCTTTCTTTCTTTCTCTCTTTCTTTCTTTCTTTCTTTTTTTTCTTTCTCTTTCTTTCTTCTTTCTCTTTCTTTCTTCTTTCTCTTTCTTTTTCCTTCCTTTCTTTTCTTTCTTTTTCTTTCTCTTTCTTTCTCTTCTTTCTTCCTTCCTTTCTTTCTTTTCTTTCTTTCTTTCTTTCTTTCTTTCTTTCTTTCTTTCTTTCTTTCTTTCTTTCTTTCTTTCTTTCTTTCTTTCTTTCTTTCTTTCACTGGTTAAGAGTACTAGCTGCTTCTCCAGAGGACCCAAGTTCATTTCTCTGGAGGCTCACTACTGTTGGAACTCCAGTTCCAGGGAATATGATGCCCTCTTTGGATTCTGTGGCGCTGCATGCATGTAGTATACATACCTACATGCAGGCAAAACTCACATACACATAGAATAAAATTAAATAATCTTAAAAAACCAGTATAGAAATATGTAAGAAGATATGTAGCAATAGATTTTTTTATCATCATTTATAACAGAAAGAATCAGTAAGTATTCCAATGCCCCCAAAAGGATAATGACTAATAAAATACACATAACCAGAGTATAAAACTAAGAGAATTCATATCAGTAGTCCAAATCATATTTCCTAAAAATAAATAATAAAATAATGGGAAATGGGAAAGAAAGTAGAATTCATAATTGTGGTAATAGAAACATGATGGATATTCACATTTGGCCAGTTAGGCATTATTTTCTTTTCCAGGTGAGGTTGCCCATATTGACGGTAGAAGAAGGTACACACCAACATCTAGAGTAAATCATGCATGCTGAGGACACACATTCCACACCAGAGGGCAAAATGTCCGGCACAGACAAGCAGCACGCCTTGGTTAGGACATTAAAATGCAGGGATACCATGGCAACTGGCTCTTAATCTCAACCGCGCGGTTTAACCTACTCTGGAACCTAATGGCAGATTCGGGTCCACGTAATTACTCAGAGACGTACACTCAACATGTGACTGCTGGCGCCAGGATTTATTTTCACACGATAACCCATCTACCCCTTAACCACATAAAGCGCACCATAGAGGTTAGAAAGCGAAGTCAAGCCTACTGGCTTTCACCGTCCTTGGGTTTGACTTCAGGTGAGCAGTCAGATGGCTCACAGTCAGAGGGTCCCACCATCTCTCCGAAGCACCTTGTGTTTGAAAACACAAAACCACACAAGCCACTTAGTACTCGTACTGACAGCATCTCATCACCTTGTAATTTTAAAATGACTGAAAAACAGCAGCAGTTAGTTGGGTTGTACATTTCTTTCATAAACATAGTGAGTATTCCTAAATCTTTTAAAATCGCTCTACTCTAGTCCTTGGGATAAATTATTTAAAGACGCTTAGTCCGCATGCTGATTCAAGATATAATTTTTCACATGGCTAACTTCTATAGTTTGGGCTTGTGATGTGAGAACATGATATTAACCATTATGAGAAATGGCTACTTGGAAATATGAGACTTCCAGCTGAGTCAGAAGAACAAGGCTAAAACGTCAGATAAAATTATGAACACAGCTCCCAAAGCTGAGATCCAAACTGCATGAACTTTGTGTGAGTCTTTTATGTCAAGCATTAAGTTTTCTGGTAGCCAATTTTTGGGGAGTCAATGTAGGAACAGAAGATGAAGGAATCATGATAACTGCTAAATTTACTTTGCCCCCCCCATCCAAAATGAGCTGGTGCCAATCATGATTTAAAATTCACCATCTGTGGATGGGGGTGGGGATGGGGTTAGGTCAACCATAGAGACCATAGAGTCCTTGCCTAACACAAATGAGGCCCTGGGTTTGATTTCCAGAAGTGAAATAAATAAATAAACAAATAAATAAACAAATAAATAAATAAATAAATAAATAAATAAATAAATAGAATCGCCATCTCCGTGACTTGACCAAAATACTGAATTTCTCCGATTCACATTTGCTACCTACACTGAGAATACAGTTTCAAAGTTAGAGCAAAATAAGTGATGAACATGGAAATGCTCAGAACACCATTCCTTGCTTGTCACCTAGCAGGCATATACTGTAAGTGGATAGATTCCAAAAGCAGCCGTCAGTCACAGAGCTGCTTTTTCTCATACTTTAAGTCATAGAGTTAATTACGTATGTGTCGAACTTTACAAAACTAAGGCACTGTCTAGTTTAAAAACAATCCGAGGAAATGTAGCTAACAACCACAATCAACATACAAGGAAGCCAACAAAGAGGGAAACTGAGTTGGATTAAACAGACTTCTTAAGAAGATGTTTACCCTGAAAAGGAACGAAAATGTTCCTCTCGGATAAATAATGTCCTTCCTTTCCCAAAAGGCAGACCACCAACATAGAGGACTAGGTGATACTGAGTCTCGGTAGAGAAGTTCTGCAAAATCCAGTTCCTCTTACTGCTCTCCCGATTCTAACAAAACTGAACAAAACAACAAACAAAAGCAGAAACCGCCAACCGGGCAAGGCATGCTTTACCTGCGTGGAGCGCGTCCGGGGAGCCTCACCGACAGAGGACCAGACGCTGCCGTGCAATCAACTTCTGCACGGGAGGCGACCTACCTCTCACAGACTTCCCGATGCTGTGCAAGTGTGTGATCGAACTGTAGTTCCGAGCAACACTCTTGAGGAACGCCTCCATCTCTTCCTGGTGGTGGTATCGGAAATCCAGGGCGGCCACCACGGGCAGCAGAAGCCCCAGCCACAGGCGCGCGAGGTCCATGTCCTGGAGATGGAGGAGAAGGAAAGAGCAGCTGAGGACCACCCCCAGGGGAAGCGCGGGCACCCGCAGCCCGGACTCCTCTTCGTCTTCGGGGCACCTGAGCTCCACGCTCCCTCTCCGGGGAACCAAGGTGAAGGTGGCCCAACCGGAGCCCCGCAGCCCGCCCGAGTCCCCGCAGCAGCACCCTCCCGCACACCCCGTCTCACCACGGCCAGGCGCGCGTCTCTGCCCGCCGGCGGCCGCCTGGCGCTCCGGGGAGTTATAGCCGGGACGGAGGGGCGGTTCCCGGGACGCCCCACCCACGACACGCCCACGCCGTGCCGCGCCCTTCCCGGGGGCGGGTCTCCGCCCTCGCTCCGGGGACCCGGAGCCCTGCGGGGTTTGGAGGAGCCTGCTCCCGGGCCGGTGGGCGGTGCTGCGACGCGACCTGTCCGCGCTCGTGTTGGACGTGCTGCCCGGCCTCGATGCCCACGATGCGCGCGGTGCGGGCCACCTGGAGTCAAGCTGGGCCAGGCTCCCAGCCCTGTGCTGCAATTGGGAGCTTTTAAGAAAGAACGTGTCTCTCCACTCTCTCTTCTCTCCTCTCTCTCTCTCTCTCTCTCTCTCTCTCTCTCTCTCTCTCTGTGTGTGTGTGTGTGTTTGCGCCAAGTGTGCCAAGTGCGCCTTTATGTGCCAAGTGTGCGCTACAGGAACTTGTGCAACAAAAGTTTGTTGTACCTGGGATTTGACTGACTCGGAGTTAAAGTTTGTGACCAACTCGCGGGACCAAGGCAGAGCCAGTTCCCGCGCCTCCTCCTCCTAAAATGCTGCTCCCTGGGAGGAGTGGGTGGGCTGTGTTTGCAATAAACAGAAAGCAGACGGCGACTGAGAAAAGTGGTTCGTGACACCGGCTCATTCCGCGGAACCCAGACCGGGACGGATGAGAAGTGTTTCGTGACATGGGCCAGCCTGCTCTAGAGGACACCACACACACTGTCCCACGGTACCACGGACTGACAGACGCCGTTGTGGAAATACTGACTCCTGCAAGGCTCCGGTGCAAACAAACCTCGAAAGCTACCGATTTCTTGTAACACTCTTGAACAGATTTCTAAAATAGTGACGACAGGGACCGTCCCCAATTGATGGGATGGAACTTCCTTCCCGGGGCATAAAAGGAGGGAGTCTCTTCTTAAAAGGGCCCTTTAGAGTGGGGAAGCCGGCTCGCAGGATGAAGCAGACGCCAGGGCCACCTCAATTCCAGTCTCAGAACCCCCATACAGGCAGGAGAGACTAGACTCCATAACATTGTCCTCGGACCTCCATGGGTGCAAGGTGATGCTTGCCGCACCCCATCCTCCACATAGGTAGTAATACCGAAAGAAGTAATGTTTTAAAGCAAGCGTTCTCAACCTGGGGGTCGTGACCCCATGGGTTCACTCGACCCATTTACAGAGGTGGCATATTAGACATCCTGCACATCAGATGTTAACATTATGATTCATAACAGCAGCAAAATTACAACGAAGTCACAACGAAATAATTTTACCCTTGCGGGGGGGGGGGTCACAAGAACACGAGGAACTGTGTTAAAGGGTCGCTGCACACGGAAAGTTGAGAACCACTATTTTAAAGGTTTAAAAACATAGAAAAGAAAGGTCAGATTGGAGAACCTGGGGTAGCCACCGCCTGTCCTTCCTTACAGACACAGATGGTATGGTGTTAGGTGATGAGTTCTGGGGGTGGATCTTCAAGGCCTCCTGGGATTCCAGGCAGGAATCCTCTGACCCTAGTGCTATGTGAATTCACTGCGCTTTGTAAAGTGCAAGTCATTTTAACTCCTTGAATAAGGTTGGCACATTGTTAGAACCACGGGGTGTTTATTAAATAAACCCAGCTTAATTAATACATCTTTAAGGAGAATTTTCTGGGAATTGGAAAGCCTTGACACAGCGCTTGCCTTTTCCAACGCAGTGGTCATGATGCTAACAGTCATCTGCCACCAAGGGGCTTGGGAGAGATTCTCCTTTCCCTGATCATAGATGAGGAGAGCTGAAAGGAGAGGAGGGCAATCCGGCTTGAGGACAGCCACCGAGTTTATGCAATTATTATGCAGAACAGGAAGGGGATGAGCAAAGTGAAGAATTGCCTCACTAGAGATCACAGACTGCTGCGGAAACAAACGGAAACAGCCTGACTTCTCGCACGGCCGAATATCTCAACCTTCCGGTTGGATAACCTGCAAGTCAGATTGCAATCCATAACAGTAACAAAATTACAGTTTCGAAGTAGCAAGGAAATAATTTTATGGTTGCGGGGTGACCCCACAACCATACTAAAGGGTCACAGCATTAGAAAGGCTGAGAACCACTGTTGTAGTGGCTGGAGACTGGGAGATGGTGGCCTTGTTGGTACGGAGAAGGATGGGATGGCCCATCCTATTCCAGGAAAGCGAAGGGGTGAAAAAAAGTTGCAGTTGCTGCCCTGGAGGTCCATACCAGCTAAGAAAGACCAGGTAGGGACTCAGAGGACTGACGTCCTGAAGGTTTAGCACTTAGTGAGCCTAAGTGTGATCTAAGGACACTGATGTCACCTGGAGCATGCCACAAGTTCAGGATCTCTTGTCCTGTTGCAAACCTTAACAGAGTTCCAGAGATACATTCTATATTCAGGCTGGAGATAGGCTCCTCTAAAGGAAGAGAGAGAGAGAGAAAAGGTTCAAAGTGAGACCGTGAAAGTTGCCGAAGAATAAAAGTTTAAGTTAATAGAGAAAAAGACCCTCAAGTTTATGGCTTCAGAGGCAACTTTTCTTATGATGAAATGATTACAGTAAATCATAGTCTAAGGGCTCATAATTTGGTGATACAATAGCATATTGTTTCCTCTGCATGGGTAAAGCCGACAAAAAGTTTACAAGGAAAACGACAACCTACATGTTATGCTTTGAGTATGAATGTCCGCACAGGTTTCATGCAGGCTGGGTCCTATGTAGAACAGTGTTCAAACTGGGGTTTTTGGAAGCTGAATGAACCATAAGGGCTGAGTTCATCAGTGGGTCCATCCATTGGTGTGTGCATAGTTGATGGTCTTATTCCAAAATGATAAAAACGAAGAGATAGGTCCTCGTTGGAGGAAGTTGGTCAATTGGGATCTGACTTTTGAAGATGTGTCTTGTTTCTAGCCTTTTCTGTTCACTCTCTGCTTCCTGACTCTTAAGAGGTGTATGGCTTTGTTCTGTCATTCCCATGGTGATCCGTCTCACCACAGCCAAGAGTCTATGTACTGAAGCCTTTGAACCCAAATAAATCCTTCTTCCTACAAGCTGTTTTTCTCAGGTGTTTTCTCATAGCAACAAAGGCTGATTGATATACCAGAAGACACAATTACAACTCATACAAAAGCAAGAATGGGCAATGGATATTAATAGGTAGGTCCTAAGGCAGCAATATAAATAGCCAATAAACACAGTGAATGTTACCAACCCGGCTAGTAAAGAGTTACATATTCAAAGAGAAAGGTAATGCTTTGTTTTGTCAACCAGTAGGCATTTAAAAAAGATTGGCAATGCCAGGAAATGGACAGGACCAGGAGAAACGATACTTATGCTCTTGCAGCTGTGTTATAAATAGTTACACTTGCTGGGAGCGCTGCCTGCCAAAAGACAACCAAGTTGCAAGTGTACGGTATCTTCTTTAAAGGAATTTTGAAGTATGTTGTATTTACCATGAAAGTTAGAGTTTCAAAATCAGTGTTGTTTTCAAGTCATGTCAGAGTGAATAACACCTGTATGTCTAACACAAGAAGGCTGCCTCCATCAGTGATTCCGTCTGGGGCAGTATTTCCCACGAAGACCCTTGGCACTGCCTGGAGCCATTTTTGATGATTATGAGGCAGTGAGCAGGGAGGGGGTTGCTGTTGAAGATGCTCTAGTGGTGGTTCTCAGCCTTCCTAATGCTGCATACAATTCCTTGTGGTGACCCCCAACCATAAAATTATTTTTTGTTGCTACTTCATAACTCTAATTTTTCTACTGTTATGAATCATAATGTAAATATCTGTGTTTTCTGATGGTCTTAGGCAAACCCTGTGAAAGGGTCTTTCAGCTTCTCCTCCAATGGGGTTGTGACCCTCAGGTTGAGAAACCTTGGTTTACAGCGTCCTGCAGTGCCTGCCTCAGCAAAGAAGCACCCAGGTGGAAGTGTCACTCATTCTGGGGTTGAAGCATCCTTAGTCAAGTGAAGGATATTATGGCCACTGTGCAGGTTATTTTTCAGACATAATAATGAGAATATAGTTATGACTCGTTAACTTGTGAAGACAACTCATTCAGTGGAAAAAGGCAGACGATAAAAGTTAAAAGTAGGAACTTTGGAGGTACAACAGATAATAAGCCAGTCCCAGCGAAATGTTAAACAGTTTTCAAGCAAGCTGAATGCTAATCCTTGGGTTACAGGGTTTTTAACTTTCCTTTGTATAAAGAGAAAACAAAACCATTTATTTATTTGTTTGTGTATGGCTATGTATGCACATGATGTTAGTGGAGACCAAAAGACAACCGGCAAGGGGTCTCTACTGTCCTTCCATCAGGGGAGCCTAGGGACTGAGCTGAGATCATTGGGCTTCGTTAGCAGGAAGCGCCTCTAACCACTGAGCTACCTCATTGGCCTCCCTTCCTTCCTTTCTTCCTCCCTCCCTCCCTCCCTCCTTCCTTCCTTCCTTCCTTCCTTCCTTCCTTCCTTCCTTCCTTCCTTCCTTCCTTCCTTTAATAATGTATTTTGCAAGCAGCTTTTTTCCTCAACAAAATGTTACTTCTTTTAATTGGACAAGAGAGGCATTTTCCTGTAGAATCAAAGCTGAGCAGAAAGCACAGAAGAAGCATCAGAGATGAACAGTTCTGAATGAAGATGACATCTAAATGTCACTGGAGTGAGTCACAGGACTGGAGAGGAAGTAAAAGGTCACTGGAAAAGTGGGAAAGTAAGGAAGTGAAAAGCTAAGGTGTTGGAGAGTTCATGCTGAGGGCATTGAGGCCTCCAAAATAGTAGCAGGAATTGGAGCAGAGAGCAAAGCCACAGGCAGGAGTTAAACACCCCAGCAGATTCTGACAAGAATGAAAAGAACAGCGAGAACAGACTTTATGACCCCTCCCTCCCTCCCTTCCTTCATTTGACATTTAATTATAGTTTGTGTGTGTGTGTGTGTGTGTATGTTTGTGTGTGGTGTGTTTGTGTGTGTGCGTGGGA